TTCCCCGACCTCAAACTTTGTGGGCGGGACTAAGTTCGGAATGGCACCCAGGCTACTAGGAACCTACACCGAAGCCAGAACCTTGAGTTCTGGCTTCAAAAACCCAGTGTTAAAGTTAAAGGACCTTGAGGCCAAAGAAGATGTGAAATGGCCTTTGATTTTAGGACGACTGTGTGTTATATTTGTAATCAACTAAAAACTAATGATCATAAGACAACAGATCATTGCTGTGGTGTGAAAAAAAAATCTAAAAGTATTATTCAAATGTAAAATCCCTTCATTGAAAATCTGATTTGTGTAAGTTTAATTGTAAAATAAGCTGTTAAGTCTTTTTAGTACTTATTTAGATTTTACAAGAAAAACAAGGGATTTTTTTTTAATTCACACTTTACCAGACATCTCATTGCTGTATAAGAAAAATCTGAATATAATTAGACTAAAGATGTTATTCTTTTATCTAACCAAGCTAAATACTGAGAAATGTTTTAATTTTTCTATTATATTTTACACAGTAAATATTATTCACAAAGGGGGCTGATTAGGAGTTCTTTATAAATGTTTTATTTAAGAAGCTGTTTTTTCATCATATCAAATTTATATCAGAATAACCTACTGCTTGCTTTTACCTAATACATCCTCTTCAACATTTAAAGTGCATTAAAAAGAAGGTTAACAACAACTTTTAAATGTTTCAAAGCTCATATGATGTGTAAAACACACCCAAAGCATTTACTAATGTACAATTTCCAGAAAATGACTCAGTAATGTACAGTAAGTGCTTTGAAAATATCATCACATTAACACTTTGTAAATTTCAACACAGGGTTTAATGTGTTTTACCATCCTTTAAAAATGAAAAATGAAACACATGGGGTTCATTTTTTTTATAGAACCTTGCTTAAAAGTCACCTCATTAGTAGATTTCTCATATGAATAATTTAATCTCAGAATTAATCTCTCATAGGTTTCTCTGAGAAACAATGACCAAATGCAACATGAAGACCAAAGGCCATACCAGACAGGTCAGTGGTAGAGTTAAGGAGAAGTTTGAAGCATGGTTAGCTTCTAAAATATATAAAGATAAGGCCATGTTTTAACTTATCATCTAAAAAATGGAAAGACGTCTGACTGAATACGCACTATTAATCAAAATAATTGCCAATGGGCCCACTGATACTCTGGAGGAGCTACAGAGATCCACTACAATTCAATCTACTTTCTTTAGTATATGGCACATTTAAATAGCGAAACGTTTCGAAAGTGCTGCAAAGGCTACAATAACCGTTACCTCCACCCCTGGGTAAAAGCAACAATATAATAAATAAAACAGTTTAAAACAATAAACACAATCAAATAAATACAAAGCCACAGGGGACCACACAACTTTGGCAATCCTAAAAGCCAGAGGACAAAAGTGAGTCTAAAGACGAGATTTAAAACGCTCCACAGTGGGGGCCTTACGTATATTGAGGGCCAGAGCATTTCACAGCTTAGGGCCAACAACAGAGAAAGCTCTGCGCCCTCTGGTTTTCCGATTTGTCTTAGGAGTCACAAACTGGAGCTGGTCCTCAGACCTCAAAGCGAGCGGAGGACGGTAAATTTGGATGAGGTATACGATGTACTGAGGTGCCAGTCCATTCAAGGCTTTAAAAACAAACAGCAATGTTTTAAAATCAATTAATCCACAGCTCAGGTGGGAGAGCTAACAGTTCTGAGCTGAAATGACATTTATTAGTCATGCCCTCAATAAATCTGGACTGCATGAAGGGTCGAAGAACAAAGACTTTCACTGGCTTCCTTCTATGAGCCATGTTGGTAACAGAGCCAACTTTTGAAAAGAGGTGCTTTTTTTATCAGATGGAATCAACAGAAAATCTATGACAAACTATAAATACTGCCATTTAAAGACACTGCATGTTCAGGCAAAATGGGATAATGTTTCAGACTAGGTAGAGAGCAAAATGAGTTTCCACAAGGAAGGTAGTCAATCAGGGATGATAATTTCAGTTGTATGATACAGAGTGTCCAGGTCTGCTCCTTTAGCACTTCCATCCTGCAACTTTTAGATTCATTTCTTCTCCAACACATGTGAATCTAAGGGCTAAATTTCCTCAGAATATCATTCTGCTCAGCTCATTGCATGTCAGGTGTATTGGAGAAGGAATTGACTTGAGAATCCCTGTAGTATGAATAATATATCAAATCATCCTAAATATGTCCACCATACTTTAGAGTTTCATCAATTATGCACGACTTAAAGTGGATCAATAAACTAACATCCCATCAATATACATTGAAGTTCCTGGTTTCAGTGTGGCTCTACATGAAAAACTTCATAAATAAATGCTTATAATGCTTTCAAACAGCCCTACATGGTCCTCATATTTTCTATAAACCAGAGGCAAATATAATCGACCATAAAACCAAAGTAACTCTTGACAAACCCCATCAAACGGGTCTGTTTAATTGATGAAACATTTGCAAATGTCTGCGCTCCTCTGCAGGGGAAAGCCCCAATCACAAGTCTAAAACTCTCGTTTGATCGCAGTACAAATCACATTTAAAACAGCCCACTTCCACATTCAGCAAATCCGCTCTGGCATCCTGCAGAGCATGAAGGAGTCCAATGGCTATAAGGTAAATGTGTACGCTTCAAACAAAGACTCAAATCAAGTCTAATGGAATCAGATCTGGGATAAGTGTTATACTTTCAGACAAGCTGAATGCCGGAGATTCCCCTAAACTGAGGTCAAATTAATCAATTATAACTGTCATAATTTGGTGACAGCAATGGTTCAAACACTTTCCTATGTGATCTTACCCTTTTTCTTTATAAGGAAATAACATTTGATAATTGCTACAATGCTAAATAGGGTTAATTATCCAACTAAAAATATAAGTTCTCTGAATTTCGATTTTATTTTAATAGTCATTCTGAAGCAAATATCAGATTTTACAAAGACAAATATTATTTTCCTGCTCCAATAATCACCAAACTGTTTCAAAATTGAAATAAACATATCAAAATTGATGCAGGCATGTGAAGGGACTTTATGCTGTCTTTTGACAGTATAAGTTTAAGGTTCATTAAGTTCATTAGCTGCTTTAATTTCAGGGACTCATTAACAGCTCCCTGGGACAATAACTCCCTTGCCTTGTCTTTTTCCTTTCATGAAAAAAGAGCTGAGGATTAATATGATGTGCTAAAGCATACGGGCAAGTGTGCACAAACACACATGCCTTCTGTCAAAACATATCCCTCACCTGCTTCCTCCCCCAGCCAACTCTGTGGCTAGAAAAGGTTCATTTTAGCCCGAATCTGACAGCTAGCAGGGTCACGGCAGCCTGTGGATTAACACTCCATGACAAAGGCGAGTCATCGAATTAAATGCCTTGCATACACAGAAGACAAGTGGGAGGGAAAGGGAGGTGAGGTGTGGATTGGAGGGATGAGGTTTAGTCAGAGAAAGAGGGGTGAGGCAGATCCGAGGCGAGCGTGAGAGATAAGTGACGGACGCACCTCAGCGTTGCTCGTCTCTCCATGCTTTCTTTCTTCAACTGCCCCCCCACTCCATTTTCCCCATCCTTTTTGTCCGCCTGTGGGCGCACCAGCAGAGGCTGTCACTACAGAGGACCGCCTGTCAATCAAAGCTTCCTAATCCAATGGCATGTCGGCAGGGGACATGTCACATATGTTAAGAAGAGAGAACGAGGGGACTTTCAGGCTGTGGGTGTGTGGAGCAAGTGTGTGCGAAAATGTGTGTATGTGATTAAACCACTGCAGGGCAGAGGGAGTGTGGTGTGGCAGAGGCTGTGGGTGACGGGAGCAGTGCTGACACATGAGGCCTGGGACCAACTCTGAGTAACCTACCAGTCACTGGAGAGACTGAGGGGGAGCAGAGGAGACAGAGCGGGGCACAGGAGGGGTAAATATGAAGGCACAGGCAAGACTAACTGCTGCTGACGTGAGTAGCATTCAGATCCGGCAAGCAAGAAGGAAGCACCGCTCCCACAAACAGAAGCAAAGGGGGTTGTGTTTGTTTATAGGGGAGCAGATATGTGTGAATCAGGTAAGGTGAACAAAAACCAAAGGAGACAAAACTCAGTATAGCCAAGCAGAATCAATGCAGTGGATGACTTTTTTTCCCCAAAACTTTTTCCTTCAAAGTTCAGTAATCATTCATCGCAATAAGTAAATTAGCCTGCTCTAGAATAAGACCATGCTCGTAAATCTCTTCATTCAGGGGATTTTTTTTACCTCCACCAAGGCGGTTGTGCTAATAGTCCTTTTTGTGTGTGTTTGTCTGTCCATCTGCAAATGATAACATAAAAACTTAGAAACGGGTTTAATGAAATTTTTACCGAAAGTGAACCCCAGTCCAAGGAACTATCGATACAATTCTGGTGATGATCTGAATGCAGGAATTTTTCAAAGGATTCTTTAATATTATTTGGTGAAACAAGCAGTTCCTCCCTAAACCAGAGGGTGGCAGCAGTGACTATTAACAGCTTCACCATCGTACTCAAAAAAGTCCAGATGTATTATACCGAAGACGAAAACAGGGGAAAGGTGAGCTATGCCTTGATCGAAGTATCGATCTGCTGATTAAATAAGAAGCAGATTTAATGTAGAAGGTTAGAGCAGAACAAACACCAGAGGCTGCAAACAAATGCTCCCTCTGCCATTACTCACCATGAGCTAGATGGTAAGGGAGGTAGAAAGATCTCCAGAGCTTATAGTTAATAGAAAATGCAGCAAAATAAAAAAATTTATAAAATAAGTAATAGGGTGAGCTAAAGGAAAAGGACGAAGGACTCTGGATGGACATCTAGAGAGGTTGTTAATAAAGCAAAAGATCTTTCTGTTTGCTTGTACCACCAAAAATCATTAAAAAAGAAGGGACTTGGTTGCCCCGCTAATAAATGATAGAGGTCTCCTGTTTTTTCCTTTACTATAAATTTTCAGCAGGAGTAACAACTGCAATAGCGCATCGTCTTACCTGATGAGGCTGGATGCGCTGGACGTTGCAGGTAAAGTCAAAATAGAGCTGGAACTTGTCAAAGTCTTTGTTTTTGTTTTTATCCGCTCCTGGTTTCTTCTGGCCTTGAGCAGATTTCCCCTGCTCCTTTTCCTTCAGTGCTGTCTTGGAAACACTTGATTGGATGGTCACATAGCTCCTTTCACATCTGAAAAAAAGAAAAAGGAACACCTAGAAAAATCTGACTGGAAATATTTTAGAGATGTACGTTTCCATCCTACTTAAGGTAGCAGAAATATACAGAAAGGCTCTTTTACAATGCTTTAATGTAGGTGAGTGTCTCTGGATCTTTGGCTATCATGTCGGCCAAAATGTGCTCCACACCAGTGGCCACTTCTTCAACGGATGACAGACCTGTCACACACAAAAAATCCGACACACAGAGTGAATTAAGAAAAGGTCTCTACTACATGTAATCAGTGATATTAATAATATAAGCCTTGAATTCTATACATCTACTTTCATCTGTCACTTAACCAACTACAAATAACAAAACCTCCCAAATAAATAACTTGATTCACAAACATTTTTTATTTCGTCAGAGTACAATAGGGAAAAACAATCATTTTAAGATCTGTTTTTATTTGCATGTGACTGCATGTAGTGGCCTCCTACCTTCAGTGCCAGGCTTCACCCAAGCTGTGAGATCCAAATTATGTGGTGAGTTCATCATTGCAGAGGCAGCATCTTCCAGGCCTAAAGCTTTGGCCCTGCGAGCTTTAGTAAGCTTGCTGCCTTTCTTGTAAGGAGAATACTGCAAACAAAACACAACGCAAGGCTTAAAAAAATGACTGCTCATCAATTTGTCAATAGTCGAGCTCTAAGATTAATCAACTTTAGCTTATTTAATTAATCTATCATTTGCACCCTATATGGTATCAACCTAAATCAAGTAAAATATCATGATATCGAGAAGCTTTGTTCTTATGATCCCTAGACTGAGCTTCCAGGTGTAAATCTGAAGGCTTTTGTCTAATTTTATTTAAACCAACGTTTAACAGTTGCATTTTTACAAACACTATAAACTAAATTATGCACAGAAATATGTTAATAGGCCAACTAAATGCTTCTCGCTCACAGGAAGTAATGGGCAGAGAGTGATGACTAAAATGAAACAGAAAAAGTCAGAAATATGCAGCTCTGATGCCAATATTATCACACTATTTAACAAACATGTTTGTCTCTTAACAAAAATCTATTAAAACCAAATCGGTTGGGAACAAATGCAAATATTATATCGTTTATAGGACAACATCAGAGACCTACATCACTGCTCGGGGAGGAACAAAGACAACCTGCTAACTACATATTATATATTTGATTCTTTTGTGACATTTCTTGTAAAAAAAAAAAAAAAGAAAACTTCCCTTTTAATAACAGCATTACAGCATAATTAAATAGTTTAATTCCTTATTTTCCATGAATTTATAGCTCTTTTTGAAAACGGATGTGGAATAAAACAGTTTTTGATATATATCATATGTTTTTTAGGTCGGTTGTACACAATATTTCCCTCATTTAGACAAATCACAGTAAAAGTAACAGTTTAACTAAATAAACTATGAAATAATCTGACCACATGATCCAGGTCATCAGCTGATCGGCAGTTCCTGAGGCTTTCCTCCAACTCAGGTGTCAAAACACCGTCCTTCTTCAGGGTCTGAATCACAGACTGGGTCTTCTTAGCAAGAGAACTGAAGCATATAAAGAAGCAGATATATCAATCTTAACCAAATAAAAACAAAAAAGAGACTGCTTAACATTAACAGAAGGCTGAAAGTTTTGGGACTCAAAGCTGAGCCACTACCACCATCTAGTGGCCAACAGCAGGAAAAAAGCACTGCTTACTTTAATGTTCTTTTGTGTGTCGTAATGAAAGCAGTTAATAAATATTCACTTTGTTTATTGTGCAACATTTGCCCACCATAACTCCTCAAAGACCATCTGGACGTCTCGAACTGCATCTGCATCCATGTGGTTGATCATGTCCTTGCGGTATCGCACCATAAAGGGAACAGTGTTTTCCTCACGTAGCAGCATAATGATATTCGCACAAACCCACTGCTCCACACAGGTCTGAGTAGAGAGAACCTGAGAAGAACAAAAATGGTTTGAAAAAAGTTTAAGTGATAAAAAGAAAATAGCTGGGAATAGAAAAATGCTTATCCTTTTACATTAATGTTTACAAATTAAATTAGAGTTACTGTTTTATTCCTTTTGGTCACAGTGTAATGCAAAACAATTGGAGGAAATAATCTAGTGAATTTAAGAAGTTTAAGTTTATACATTTCTTCATTCATAAACTAAAAAGTAATCTATAAATATATACACTTTCTTTATGATTTTCAACATCGACAGCTAGGTGATGCAATTAGAGCTGAAACAATCAAATTAATTGTGATTAATCCACTATTGAAATAATAAACAACAAGGTTTTGTATGGCAAGGGCTTTGTAACCTTTATTAAGAGGCCTTAGGCCTCAATGCAGCTCCCCCGGGTTTAAATTCCCAACCTGGAGACCTTGCATGGCATGCCATAATTTACCAAATCAAATAATTATTAACTGGAGAATACAGTCTCAGAATCATTGCTGAAAGAACAGCACACTTAGAGAAGTAATTATGATATAAATCTTTTGAATCTGATTTGCTCAGACAGAGCTGAACTTCAGAACAGGTGCACTTATTAATGCATGTGCCAATTTAGTGGAACAGCAGGCGCAAACTTTGTGTGTGTGTCCTTATGAATGTGAAGCTTAGAGATAGACATATAGAGATTATTTTCTAGTTATCTGGGTTGAGCTTATCAGCTGTTACCCATTAGCAATCTGATACTACTGTTGACTGGATAGACCGTATACCTCGTCATGTGACTGAAGAGATCAGGGATGGCATAAACTTTGTTTAAAAAAAAGTATCAACACAGATCTAAATCATCACTAGCTGCTCTATATGCTATGCATCATGAATAATTAGTCAGTATTGGGTATAGGATCAGTTCTTCGCTAGTTTTTTTTTTTTTTTTTTACTCATGACATGAATGTTTAACTCATAACACAGGGTAGGTATGACAACATTGTAGATTTTATTTTTAACCCATATTACCCAGCCCTAATTATCATTTCTATTATTTTTAATGATTATTATCATTACTTTAAACTTTATAGCTTAGAACTTCCTCTTTCTTTTTAGTCTAGTATAAACTCTAGGGCTGTGTCCAAACGTCTACCCTAAACCCTAAATCCCTCCATTACTATATAGAGTGGGGACTATATAGTGGACTTCATGGTGAACTCACTTATCTGAACGTTGGGACAGATGATCACTACTGTTTGCTCCCCATTGGTCACGTAACTCTGTCTTCCCGCACGGTGCCTGCGCCATCTTTGTTATTTGTCACTGCTGTCGGGTAGCGACAGCTGTAGGCGACAGTGGGCAGCTGTGACAACAAATCCCGTAATGCTTTGCGAGGAAACTTTTCATCGCAAAGCATTTTGGGATATACCTGCTCGTGACGTGACCATAGATGACCACTTCTTTTCAAAGTGCATTGTGGGAAATTTCAAGTTCAACTATTTTTTATCCACAAGATGTTCGGACATTAATCTAAAGTGGCGTAGTCACCATAAAGGGCCCTACATAGTGATATACAGTACTATAAAGGGCCCTATATAGTGATTATGGTGGACTTAAGGGACACAGTCTAGTTGTTTATTTATTCCAAGAACCATCTTTTTAACTTAAATTATTTATTTATTTATTTAAATCAATTAAACAGAAAAATAATCCCAAGATTAACTGATTTCTAAAATAATCAATAACTTAGGCCTTATCACAGACAGAGAACAGAATGGAGCAACAGCGCACTAAGCTATTCAATGGCAGTGACTGGCATCATTCTTAGGAAGCTGTTCTTTTGTTTATAAAGCAGTGACCCAGTTGTGAGGTCATCAATACTTTCTAGCAATTTTGTTCCTTGACAAAATTATCCAACTACACTGCTTAGTTGTATGAATCAACAAACAGAAAGATCTAAAAAGTTGATAGTAAATTTAGTATTTTGCAGAGAAAAGCATCTGTTCATGGTTATAGTTTCATGACTGTTCCACTTGATTCTGAGATTTTAGGTCTGCCTCACACTAAAAGCAGGTCCAACATACAGTCCTTACCTCAACAACATCCCAGTTCATATTGAGATCATTCTTCAGAGACCGGAATTTGGATTCTGGTAAGGCAGCTCGTTGCTGCTGGTTTGTTTCCCTGAATGGCTGTTTTTTGTGACATGGCTCATCAAAAGTGAAATCGTCTTCAGGCGCTTCTTCCTTCTTGACTTGGAGCCCAGCTTTAGATGTCCCCTCATCTGCCCATCCTACTGTCTGATCCGACACAATGAAGGAGATCCTCTAAAACAGGAAAGCAAATAAGAATATTAACAGAATGAGATGGAAAAAACTAATTGGTAACAAAATCAAATTAGCTATACAAAGCATTACAGGGTTATTTCAATCCATTCTTATTGGATGTTCTGAACAGCAATGATAATGTCGACAGCTAAAGAGCAGGGGCTAAAGTTTTATAAGCATAAGCATACAAACATAAACATAACATTTGGCAAATATTTATTTCTAAAATAACCATGCTTATTATTTGTTTGATAAATAAAAAATACACACTTTGGACACCAAGAAATACCTGCATATGTGAATCAGAACATAACCTGAATTATTTGTTCTGATTCTTTTTAAAATGGACATTATGATTACCTCTTCTTTCATTCTGACACCAGATTCTCCCTTGTCAACTCTCTGTTCTTCTGGGAAATCACTTTGTGGTTTGCTTTTATTTTCTTCTAAATCATCACCATTAGTCTTTTTTCTCTTTGCTCCAGTGGTTCTTTGAGTGTTTGGTGATTTTTGTTCTGCTGCACGTTTGCGGGGTGCTCTTGGTTTAGGTTCTTTGGGAACTTTAGGAGCCTTAGGTTCTTTGGGAACTTTAGGAGCCTTAGGTTCTTTGGGANTTAGGTTCTTTGGGAACTTTAGGAGCCTTAGGTTCTTTGGGAACTTTAGGAGCCTTAGGTTCTTTGGGAGCTTTTGGTTTAGTAGTCTTCTTGGGAGCCGCTTTCATCCCGCTAGCTTTAAGACCTCTGGCTGCTGTGCTGGTAGCGTTTGTTGACTCTGGTGGCCTCCACTCCTCCATGTCTTCATCACTACTCACCACCTGAGAAAAAGATCTGATAATAAAGGTATAATAAAAATATAACATCAGAAAAAAGGGGGGAAAGTACAGAATCTTGCAAAATTACCCACACCTCTTTAACATTGTTCTTATTTAAGAAACACAAAATGGGGAAAAAAATTGACCAAGATAAAGAAACGATGATGTTCACAGAAAAAAAAAAAAAAAACAACGATTGGCTTTTTATTACTCTCAAAGAGGCACCTGTACCTGGCTTATCTTATTCAATTCTTTTAAGTACAAACTTTGGTTCCAGTTTTAGTTCCAACACGTTTGGGGGATTTTACAACCAGATATTTACTGAGAAACTAAATATTTTGTCAAATCTTTATTTTATTTTACTGGCTTATTCTGACACATAAATATGCCTAACTATTTCCTTCTACCTCTGGCTGTATATGTAAGATTGTTTGTCTTTTTTCTGATGGAGATCATCCTACACTATAGTCTACCTTAATGTAAGGTCTCTTAATAGTTCGATTATTTTAATTACTCAGCCATTAGCTACATCCATACTCTTTTTAATTCTGACCAGAATTGCTATACCTGAAGAAACAAACCTCAGCATGGCACAGCCACCACCATGTTTAACTATGAGAATGTTTTTTGTGATTTTTTCATTCTCCACCATATGTATTGTTTTGCAGGTGGGCTAGAATAATATTTTCTGCTTTCATGAGTCAAGGATCTCTCTTCTACTAGTCCCCCTTTAAGGCTTTGGGCAAACTGTAAGCACATCTAGTCCCACAAAGGCTTTCTTCTTGACATTGCTACATAAAGATCAGATTTATGAAGTACTTTGTGGAAATTAGTTTTTTCCAACCACAGATAAAAGCAAGAAGAAAAAACTAGAAGTGCTTTATGGATTAACCTTTACCAGGTCGGCCAGCTCCAAGTCCAGACTTTATTTACACCAAGGTGTTTCACTCATTAGTTAGTAACTTCTCACAACCCCTGGTTATACTGGATGTTCTTTAGTGATATCAGAGGAAATTGGGCTGGATACATGTTTTCAGATTTATTTCAGTCAAAATGTTGGAACCAATTTAAAGGAAACAGTTACAGTTTATATCAAAGGTGCAATGTGAAGCCATACTTAAAAATTGACATTATAAAGAGTCTTTGCAAACATGCAGGTCTAATGTTTAATATAAATTAATCGTTTAAAAAAGAAAGAGAAAACATAACTCACAAGTCGGAGTCTAGAGTGTCATTATCGTTGTAAACTACAGCTTTGGCAGTTGTTGCTCTGGGTCTTCGCATCATCTGTTAGATGAAATAAAAAGTCCAGTGACATTAATATGAATTAGTATGGATTATAGAAACGACACATTTATGAATTTCTTATATATGTAGCTGCATTTGGCTTCCTGTCAGCTGTTGGTAAACTGTTGCTTTTTCTTTGTATGCAGTTGGAAATATAGAAAGAAACAAATACTTTCTAATTCAAAAGAACAAATATAAGCTATTAACAGACGCTAGTTTCCATAAAATGATCTGGGTACGTAAGCTTTTTTTTTTTAAATTTGCCGCTACCAGTTAATGCTAACTGCGTTAGATACGTTCCCATTGGGTCTTTTTTATGTCTGCCTTTCTTTTCCATATTTTACCATATTGTATGAAGCACGAGTACTATGTACCTTTATAAGGCTGAGTATATTTGGGTTATACGCAGCTGTTTGACAAAAAGAACTAAAGATGAACAGCGACTTCCTACAACAGCACGATTTCAACCAATCACAACACGCAAAGCCCTTCCTCTTTCGATTAAATGTTGTGTTCCGTACCCGATAACGCCCCCTATCGTCTGGTAGTACGGGGGGTTATTGACCAGTACGTTCAGTTAAATGTACATTATGCCTCCAAATGTAGATTAAACTGATCAAGTAAAAGTAGAGGTGTCAAAAGTATTTACTACTCCAGTATAGTAGAAATCCTACTGTTTAAAAACATTTCTGTTGAAGTTAAAATATCATCTTAAGCTTTTGACTTAAGTAAAAGCGTAAAAGTATCATTTTTTAAAACTACTTAAAGTATAAAAATACAAGTAATGCAGGAAAAATGTTAAGGACAGATGCTTTAAACCTTATACTGGTTACTGCACTACTCTATTAAAGGAACATGTTTCTACAGTTCTGGGTGAATTCCCTTAGACTTAATTTTCTTAGTTTAATAACTAATGGCACAAGTATCAAATTTAACTTTGGATGATCTTGAAAAAAATATTTATTTTGGTATGTAGTGAATGACAAGTTGGTGCAGCACCAACCACAAAGAAATTTTCTGTATAAAAAAAAAAGATTTTGATGTTTTTTTTCTTTATTAAATAGGCCAAAATGAAAATTAGTTCAAATGGAACAAAACCAATGAGTCTTTTCATAAAATGTAAGGAGTAGAAAGTAGAGATAATTGCATAAAAAAAAGGAGTAGAAGTAAAAAGTTGTCTGAAAAATGATTACTCCAGTAATTTATATAGTCAAAATTTGTACTTAAGTAAGGTAACAAAGTATTTGTAATTTGTTACTTGAAACCTCTGAGTAAAATAAAAATGTATTCAGAAAAATGATGTAACCAAATATGTGTATTAAAAGAAACAATTCTCACAGTATAACACAATGATAGGAAGTTCAAATAAGGAAGAAAAACTAGATATACCCAAAATATCTGAGCAACAAACAAAAAAACAAGGATCTGAAAAAAGTAAACGTTTGTTTTATTTCTCATTAATGTACACTCAGCACAGTATCTTAATCTTTTTTCCTCTGTGTTGCCCTGCGATGGACTGGTGACCTGTCCAGAGTGTACCCCGCCTCTCACCCGTAGACAACTGGTGATATAGGCACCAGCAACCCTCGCGACCCCACCCCAGTGTGACAAAAAAACATTTGATCTTAATCTTTTATTTTCCAGATGCTCCTGTTTGTCCTTCCATCTCCAGCCAAGTAACAATGTTTTCACAACTTTTTTTTTTGTCTAACTCGTTTGAGTCCCAAAAACTTTTCAGCTCCTCTGGCAATGATTTTCTCACTTATGCTTGGGTTGGCCTGTTCAGTTAATGACATAGGCTATGAATATGAGTAGAGAAACTAGTTTCTCTACTGTTGGAGTCAGTCTCTGTATGCTGTTAACCTGGCGTAAAATAATGTTTAATAATTTTCTAATCAATCCAAATTCTCATTTATTGGTATTCCTGTTATTATTCCTTTCACTGTTCTATTCTCTCCTATGACTTTTTGCTCCTCATTATTGCAAATTACCAGCAAGTTTTTATCTCTCAAATCCTTTACTAATTAAACATTCCCAATTTTCTCATTTATTTCCTTGGAAATGAAAATGGGGCTCAAATGACTCTATTTATATTTAGCCCTGAATCAAAATATTATTTTTATTTCTTCCCCTACTACCTTCCTTCACACAACTCTTTTTTTTTTAATCTGGACTGCTTTCTTCTAATTCCCGTTTATTTCCTTGATTCTCAAACCCCCTTTCTCCCCTTTTTACTTCCTCTATCTATCTCTTAGAAAATTTTAGATAAAAAAATTTTTCTACATTTTTCGATTCCCTTCTACTCTATTGCATCATTTTTTTTTTCTTAAAATTTTTTAGACAGCACAGAACTATAAAAATGTAAATGAAATTGTACTTTTTAATTATAGCAGAATTCTTAAAACAAAAATCAAATGTTTAATTAGGGTATAAACCTAATAAAAAATAAAATGAATATGTTTTGAATTAAAAAAAATGATAAAATTAGATAATCATATATATTGCTAATATGAGATATTTTTACTTTTGTTTAAACCTAGAATGGTGTTTGTCTGTAAATGTTTTATGTACCAGAAGCATGTACAGTAAGCAAGTACAAAAAGGACCCTTCTGTAGTTCATGTTACTCTGTTCTACCTGGTAACAGATGAGTAAGAGAAATTAACCAATCATAAAATCGAGATTGAAAAAACCCTGCCATAACAGAATAGTGTTACTCAGAATTGTTTTAGGGTTTTCCCTTCCATCCGCTTTCAGTTCCCTCTGACTCAGATTAGTGAAAAGGATCAAATCTCCTAGACTTCAGTCATTACTGCGAAACAACCTGCAACCTGTTCAAACAAAAGGTAAACTCTATCTTATCTGTGTATCCTGTCAGGATAGCATTATTTCTAAGTTGTTGACAGATCTTATTTTGTTTGTGTGTGTTTATGTTTGTAGGTGTTTGTGTTTGAGTGAAAAATGTCTGACCCAGAGACCCCATCCCAACCTCTTCTTGGACAAACATCCGTCAATGTAGGAGCACCAGGACAGGGGTAAGGAGGGAGTAATATGTGTCTTTATCATCAAGATTTCTTAATTATATGTTCTAAATTCGTAATCATTTGGGGTTTGTATCTTTTGTTCCCAAAACATTGATTTTGCTGGGATATTTTGATTGTATGCTTTAATATTTAAATTCTTCTTCTTTTGGGTTCAAAGTAGTGTTGCACTGTTATCGATACTGCACTAAAATGGTGGTATCGGTATTGGTGAGTACCAACAAATAGGGCACCTATACCATTTTAAGAGCCAAAAGTTTATTCAACTATTGTCACCCATGTCCTGCTTCACAACGGTAGCCAGCAGCTTGACAAAGCCATGATGAAAATTATTTTACATCTAAGAAGTATGCAGTTCTTCAGATATACACACGCATCAATTTCAGACAGATGGAATCGGTATCGTCCGATACTGCACAGCCAGGTATTGGGTATCGCTATCAGGGCCAAAAAATGGCATCGGTGCAACACTAGTTCAAACATCAAATTTGTTCCAAATCCTTGTACAGTTTTATGCTAAATCAAGTATCCATGCCTTTTCATTTGTGACAAATTACAAATGAAAATCCAGATTATAATCCCTTGATATTGTTTCTAATGAAGTCTCAATATGATTTAAATTAGTAGGATTTGGAATAGTTTATATACCAGCTTCTTTTATGTTCTAAAATACTTTCTGGTAATCTCTGCTTTGCTATTGTTTTTTTTTTTTTTTTTTGTATTGTAAGTTTGAATTCCTTGGACTTTTTAAAACTACACTAAGAATCTGTGTTTTGAACAGTTTGTATCTTTTTTCTTCCATATTGCAGTAGAAGAATAACATGAAAATAGGAGGCAATATTTGATCTTTAAAAATTTAAATTAATAAAAAAATTAATTTTCCCACAGTGGAACAATAAAGGAATAATCTGTTTCTGGACAATTTAGACCCTAAAACCAGAACGAGAAAAACTATATTAAAAAAACATAAATGAGTAAAAAGGCAGTTTTAGTCTATTTATTATGGGGCTGTTCTTGTCTAGTCTGTGAAAGTCATAGAAGACTGTTATGTTTCTTACTTAATGGAGCATTCAAAGATTATTCAAATTTGAACTTTAAGGTTTGTGTTCTGGAGTATCTGATAAAATCATAGGAATGTCCAGCAGACAGAAAAATATTTTCAAACTTTCCTTTTTGCATCTGGTTGGCAACAAGTGATGTCATCTGTAGGTATATGTGGTAAATACCCTGTGCTCAGTTCCGCTTTTAGAGAACTCCCCCAGTTTCCAAAAAGACCCCTTGAGGAAGTTACATGTAGGTTTTGTCACTATCATTCACCGCGTTTGAGATTCTTTTCCCCTTTAGTTAATAACTAAACAAATATGCCTTATTTCCTGCCTATATTCTGTCTCCTTCTAGCCCTCGGTCCACCCGGGCTTATAAGGTGGCAGGACTGACCCTGCTGGCCTGTGTCCTGATTGTGGGCCAGGCGGCGATTGCCTACTTTCTCGTCAGCCAGAGGAGCGACATCAGGAATCTGGAGGAACAGAACCAAAAAATGACCGTGCAGATGAGCAGTGGAAGATCTGGTAAGCAACGGAAATTCAAATCACTATAGCAGGAATAAAGTATATCATGATTTGTTTAGGTTTTGATTATTCACAGCTTAAGAGATAAAAAGTTTACTAACTTTAATTTAAAAATTAATTGTTTTTATTGTCAGAACATGGGTCTCTCTAATTTAATCAGATAGAATACTGTTTGAAGGAGATAAGAAATGATGAGTGCATTTAAAAACCTGTTGCTGTACAAAATCGAAAAGCAAATCACTATGTGTTGCAAAACTTTTTGAATTGACTTAGTAACGGTCATTGTTTGCCCTCAGAGACACTCTTAACATTGAAAAATTATACAAATCAATACTTGGAGTTGATGAGAGAATGTCAGTCTCACTGTTGCACATGTTGCTTTTCTTTTGCTCTGCAGCTTCTATGCCTGTGAGGATGCACATGTCCATGATTCCAGCCCTGGAGATTATGGACACCTCCATGGAGGAGGTAAAAGCTGCTTTTGTTGCACTTTGGTTAACATCCATGTTCTAGAATTAATGTTTTTCCCTAAAAAATAAATCAACCCTTAATGTTTATTACTGTAAAACCAGTCTCATTTTTCTTT